GGGTGGGTCGGGTTTGGGTTGGATTACCAAATGCTAGACCCTAACCCTAAATGCTCGGGTTAGGGTTGACCCATGGGTCAATTTGGGTCATCCCAAAAAATAAAGAAAAACTACATGAAAAATGCCAAAATTAAAGGAATTAACCTTAAAATTCCAAATATAAGATAAAAAACTTGAACATTTAAAAATTTAAAGAATAAACAATAAAGAGTAAAGACTAAATAGAAAAAATTAAAGAGTGAAACCTTCTAAGAATGCATAAATAGTCCCAATTAGACTTGATAATCAGGTCAGCGGGTTGACCCATGACCCAATCCAACTCAACCCAGTTTTTTCCAGATTGGGTCGGGTTGGGTCATTCGCACATTCAGGTAGCTAAATGTGAGGAGGTCGGGTCTCTTGCCCACAGCTTCCTACTCACATCCCTACCCACGCCATAAATTTTGGACACATGTCCACTAGCATGTTTCTCTTCTTCACATGTGCACAATTGCATGTGAATTCGATGGGATGTAATTATGTAAAGGGACGGACTTTATGTCCATACTATCGGAATTCACCCATTAACCCAATTAATTTTTTAACCTAAAAATAATTAATCTTTCCCCTTCCCAAGAACCCTAAATAGTCTCGTTCTCTCCATTCCATTCTCCACAGTTTACTGTTCTGGGAAACTTCACCGGCATCCGGCAACTGACAACCTGCAACGTGTTCACTGGCATCTTATTATCCTTGTACTCCATTAGTTAACCTTCTTCTATTCTCCATAACGTCCTATTCTAAGAGATTTGATCGACATCTGACAACCGGCAACCGGCAACGAAGGAGATTACTGTGCATGACCAGAAGACCGGTGATAAGAACCTAGTTGGAAGAACTATAAGAGAATATTGCTCAATTTTTTCTTGTATTGGTTGAGGTTAACGACCGGTGTATCGGTGAGCACGTCCTTTGTTGCCAGCTACCGGATGTCAATTGTCAGATGCTGGATGCCGGTGAAATCTCTTGGAATAGGACATTATGGAGAATAAAAGAAGGTTAACTAATGGAGTATAGAAAGAATAAGATGGTAGTGAGCACATCGCTGATTGTTGGTTGCCGATTGTTGAATGCTACTATGGAGAATAGAATGGAGAGAATGAGACTATTAGGGTTCTTGGGAAGGGAAAGATTTATAATTTTTAGGTTAGAAAATTAATTAGATTAATGGGTGAATTCTAATGGGATGGACATAATGTCCGTCCTATTATATAATTACATTCCATTGAATTTACATGCAATTATCCACATATGAAGAAGAGGCATATATTAGTGGACATATGTCCAATATTTATGGCGTGGGTAGGGATATGGGTAAGAAGCTGTATGCAGGAGATCCGGCCTCAAATCCCTATTTTTTCGGATTGGATTGGATGGGATTCGTTGGTTGAGTCAACGTTTTGCCAGGTCTAATAGCGGATCAAGGGTCCGGAGCCATGTGAAACTAATAAAGTCTACATATTCTACGCGTCTGTACGATTTTACAGTCAGTGATGGATGGGAACTTAGCTGAGCCTGTGAGCGTAGTACCAATCACTACTCTCGTACACGTAGGTTGTACCCCATACGAAAGAAGATTCCAATCCCACGGACTTATAGGACAGACACATGGGCTAGTGCCTATGCACCCCGAGGGGATGATGGGCGCATGGGCAGACACATGGGCTGTACGGTAGAGGTTGGATTTCTGAAGTGGACTGAATTATAAAACCCTTTTTTCTTGGGGGGGGGGGGGTGTCTGATATCTCGTCCATGGGCCGGACAATTAATTATTCAGCCTGGTTTTGATGATTGATTCAATATCAAAATTCATTCCATCCCCTACTATCAGACGATTCGTAATAATTTAATACCATAGGTTCGTGAGGCAACAAAATTCGCTGCCCAGGCCTTACCATCCGGCCATCATTCACTTTGCCCTCTCCCAGTCTCCCTTTCGTAAAAAGAAGTTATAAAAGGAATATTTATTTATTATTTGTTTTTTAGACATTAATTAATTTAAAAAATAGGAGTTTAGATGATTAGATTGCAACTTTAGAACACTTAACAGTAGAGCAAGAAGCATTGAGGAAAAAAAAGAAATATCCAGTGAGAGGGGCAGTAGGTAATAATCACGCCGACTGGGATTAAAAAATGAAAAAAGGAAAGAGAGAAGTGCGATAAAGGTCGAGCATGTTGGGTGGTTGGGGGCCCAGGCCCAGGGTCACGATCCTGGATCATCCCACGCAAAAAGTGAAAGAAGTCCCAAGGCCCCCAACTCCCCAAGGGCCCCACATATATTAAAGTGGGGAAATTCAGAATGTGGACTCGTGTCGGTCATTGGCAGGTTGGAATCCATTTATGGTAATCTGGGTAAGCCGAAGATCAACTGCGTGCGTCGGTGATCGGTAGGCCGGTACCCAAGCAGCAGCAAAACATTAGACATAAAACGCAGCCGACCACACGCTTAAACGACTTACATCATCTCCCCGACTCTGTGTCTCTGTCCTCTGGTATATGTCATTTCCGCGTCGACTCGCCGAGTTTGTCTTCTTCTTGCATCCAACGTAAGACGTAAGAATCTTGCTTGGTGAGTGCGAAATCTATACATTACCCTCAACCTCACCTCAGGAATATATATGTAGCTTTACCTAAAGTTGCACAGGTTTATTAGTGAACAGTTGTCACTAGTCCAATAGTAGTACTAGTTACCACGTGGCACTTGTGTATTCAACTTCAAGTATGCCATCCCCCCGCTTTGGATGCTCTCTGACGATCAAAAAAACAAGTTTTTGATTCCTTTGATGGTGACATTTAGTTCATTAATTAAGAAAAAAAACAAAAAAATAAGAACAGACTCAATATCCGCTTATGAATTAGCATATCAATTCTGATGATCCCAATTGTATTTTGGGCCTAAAAGTTCTGACCGAACTTTTAAAGAACAATGAATCGTTAAAAAAAATGTACCTTCCCATTAAAGCCTTTAGACAAGTGCCTCCACCACTAGCTTTTTAATTTCTTCCAAAACAAGTAACATGCTTGCTTCTCTGTGGTAACCACAAAATGAGAATTAACTTTGTAATGGTAATGCTCGTATTTTCTTTCCTTAATGCTTCATATTATTATTGTTAGGCAAATGCCAGCGTGAGGTTTGAGTTTCAAAATTTTTTAGTAGGACTTGGTTCTAAAATAAGTCATTCTTACTTGGCAAAATCTATAAGAATCTGGAATTGCTTCTCACTTCACACATCATTCTTAGCATTTCCAACCGTGTATTAAGAACATTTCAAGAAATGGTGCGATGCAGTTCTTCAATCTTTCTCTCTCTCTCTCTATATATAATGTATTTACTGTACCTTGTAACAAATAATATGGTTGATTGAATATCACCATAATTAATAAACTTTGTGAAACATGAATGAATTAATGAAAAGTGAAAATATGATATATAACCAATATTAATCAAAAATAATTGAAGTGTCTTTATTATTTTATGGACGGCAGGTGTCCCAAGTCTTGAAAATCATAATTGTGTAAATAATAGAAAGAGAGGCATGGCATATTGGCAAGGCGTCATGGGAAGCAAATTCGTACTCATTGCTCTCATAATTGAATTAAACAACACAGGACACAGGACACAGCCTCAGCCTCAGGCTGAACTTATCCACCCACGAATCACAATATCCATATTTGCAGAGAGTTGGTGTGCCAGCCAAGTAGCTAGTGTTGGTCAACGTAACAAAAACAAAAGCCGCTAGGGGATGCCAGTGTTTTACTCTCAAGGGCCGGACAAAATGAAAGCCATTCATCAACAATCATAATTAATTAATAATAGTCATGCCTTAATTGCTTCAATTCAATCTACCGGATACGACTGCTATTGTTTTCCAAAACACAAATGTCTATCAAGTTTTAATTTTGTGGAGTTGATTTCTGGTGACGACGAATACCTCCAAACATATATAGCAATATATTTTGGACCTCACAAATATTATACTCTTTGTTTGCTTTGCTTGGATGCTAGCCAACAAGCAAGTAGTAGGTAGTATGGGCTTTTCTCTCTTCTCTTCCCGTGCTGGAACACTTAATCTGTTTTTTTTTTTTTTATTATTATTATCAACTCTCTTCTCTCCTTCACGCTTAAAAGAAATGCATGCATACCACTCAGCCAAACATTTGTTTCCCTCATCATTTCATGTCCGACCACAACCTAACAAGGCTGCTTGCAAATCCGAGATGGGTCTCAAACTCTGACCTAATTTTGCTGATGATATATACTAATTAATTAACAGTTATAACTGTTTCAATAAATTAAGCACAAGCACTACTTATTAATTGCTGTGCCTGTGGAGGATTCACCCAGCAAGCTCTACGCTTTGGGCCTTTGGCTTTGGCTGGCTAGGCAAAGCCTTGTGAGTCGTGACGGTGAGGTGCGACTTTGTGAATAGCCACGTGAGGGCTATTTTGGTCATGAAAGAAACTTTTGGTATCCGCTTTTGTCGGCCAATAACAAGTGAGCAGCATTCAGGTCATTTGTCCATTACTCCATTTTTGACCAACTTATCCACGAGGAATTCGAAATCCGGACGAGGGGAATCAAATATGGGGATCTGGACGGCACTCAGAGAGACAATTGTCATGCCCTGCCGTCTACATGTTTTAATTGCACAAGCTCGCAACCCCACAATCCCTATAAGCTATGTTTGGTTTAAAGAAATATAGATTTCTTTACATTTTCCTTCTTTTTCTTACTCTTTTCTTCAAACCAAACAAACATAGCGATAGTCCCTACCCACGCATACATCGATCATGCAAATCTTCTCCTTTCTCCCTTCCTCTCCACCCATGTCTCCTTACTTTCTCTCTCCTACTTTTTTTTTTAATATTAATATTAAGATAAAGGGCCCCATGAGCCTTGGGGAACCTCCTCCATTCCTTCTCCCTTCCTCTTTAAAAAGACTACACATTTTAACTAATCAGGGTCTAAGCCTAGGCTTCATTCTTTCTTCCACTGAGTTCAAGCAAACCGGGCCTGTTCTGTTCATCATCACCCTCATGTTAATACTCCTACTTTGCGTTTTTTAGATAGTCATTTCTGTTCTCATTTCATACACAGACACAGACTCTCCCTTACCTTAATGGAGAGAGAGAGACCGACAAACACAGTAGGACTCGGACAGACGTGTTTGGGGCTTCGTGCTTCGATGAGGCTTGCTAACTAGTCACTTCTCTCTAAACAAGTCACATTAATACCAACATCTCTACATGTGTAGATGTGGGGAGGGATGTTTGGGTCAGTGTGCTAATGAGGCTACTGCCTACTTGTCGTGGTGTGGTGGTGGAGTGTTATGTGTATTTCTAGGGAGACGAGCTGAACACGCTCTTGCTTCCCCAACGGAACAACAACCTCACAGCCCAAACTACCCAACGTTGTCTCTACACTACACGGTTGTTTGCGTGTGAAAAGCTCTCTTACTGTTTTTGGTTTGTCTTGCTTCTCTATTCTTCTTCTCCCGTCCTTCTACACTGTCACGAAGGGGATATATAAAATAAAGGAAGGAGAGAATCTGATTGATTACAAACAAAACCCAAAGCGGGTGAAGAGGAGAAGAGATAGCTTTATCTCCTTTCACTTTTTCTTTCTCCGTGGATTATAACTAGTTTTTATTTGTCTGGGTTAGTAGGTGAGCTTTGTCTTGGACTGTTAAATTAAATGTGCTGCTTTGGGTTTCTCTGATTCTTTCTCTTTCTGATCTGAGATGATAAACAACTAAACAAGCGTTTTCTTATGGTGCCTCTCCAAAGCTGTATATTTCATGCTTTTGGAATGTGGCTGTTGATGTTTTGGAGCTTTTGTTGAGGTATGTGATCTCTGTCTCTTCTTTTCATATTGGGCTAATATAGTTTTTAGTGTCAAAGTTCATTTATGAATGTTTCAGGTTATTTTGCCTATCTCTCTTGTGTTTTCTTTTTGGTCTTGCTTTTTTGTTCAAGGTGATTTTCTTCTTTCCTATTAATAAATATACTGATTCATTCTACGGTGTGAAGTTTCAGTACAGGGTGCCTTTTTCCATCTGGGTTTCTTCTGTTTTCTTTTCTTTTCTGGTCAAAAAAGATTAGGAAATGGAGGGATGTACAAGGAACGGAATGGTCTGTCCGAAGTTGCTTGACTTGATTCCTAACGAAGGAGAGTGGGTAGTGAGAAGAGATGAGGGAAGTATTGGGGTTTCAGAGGATAAAAAGCTAGAGCTGAGGCTTGGACCACCTGGAGAAGACTGGTTTATCAAAGGTAGTAGCAAGAACAACGGTAACGATAACGATACGTCGCTTCTCTCTCTTGGCTGCTTTCCATCTTCCATGATCAACAGCAACAACAGTAGCAACAGCAGCAACAACAACAACAATAACGCTTCTCATGGTTCGAAGAGAGGTTTTCTGGATACGGTTGAAGCAAACGCAGAAGAAGCTTGGGTGCTGAACAACGGGAACCCCCTTTCCTCCTCAGAAAAATCAACTGGCACTCTTTTTTCTTCTCCATGGTCTTCTAATTCATCACCCTGTCTATCTCCTAAGGCTTTCCAGATGAAGACCCAGCAGCAACAACATCAATCAAGGCCTTCATTTCTTCAACTTTCGTCGATTCCGCAGAGCATGCCTGCTATGCCAAAGGAATCCTCACAGACCTGTAGCACAAAGGTGGAGTTGCAGAACTCAGAGCAGAAGGCATGTTCTCCAGCTTCTGCAAATACAGCTGTTCCCAACAGCTCTCAGAAAAGGTACTCCAACTTTTAACTATTTCTCCCTTATTATATATATTTTTTCTTTTATTCTGTCGTCATGTATTCATTCTGTTGGACTTGTGATTCTAGTAGAATTATTTTCCTGACATGTTATTTTGTTAATGCAAAAAAAGAAAACAACAAACTCTTTTCTCCTCGCAGATTTTTTTTTTTTTTTTGGTTTTTCTGTATTTACTAGCTTTCGTTAAAAGGAAAGCTTTTTTACAGTTGAAAGTTTTTGTTCCTATGCTTTTTTATTTTCATTTGCAGAAGTTATAAAATTGTTTTAGCTTTTCAGGTTTTGATTTCTTCACTTTTTTAATTTCTCTTCCCGCTGAACCTGAAGGGTTGCTTGCTGTCTATCAAAACTGAAAATGTAGAATATAAAACTTATCTCTTTTATTTGTTTTATTTGATTCTTTTTCTCGTCTCCGTCTTGGTATTCTGTTTTATATTGTTCGTGAATTACATCTTATTAGGTGTAACCATTTTTCTCTCTGGAAATCTTTCTTTCTCCTTCTCTTCCATCCGAGCTGGTTTTGTTTTCCTTTCTGGATTTAAGTTTGACTCGGGAAATCTTATTAGTCTTTTCTTTTTGAGTAATTAATTCTCTATTTGACTCGGGTTATTTGTTTTTCGTGTCTTCTCTGCCGGCGGCGACCTGTTGATTTAAAAAAACAAGCAGAACTGCTCCTGCTCCGGTTGTGGGGTGGCCACCAATTCGTTCATTCAGGAAGAATCTTGCAAGCAGTAGCTCTTCAAAACCAGCTCCCGAGTCTTATAAAGTTGGAGCAGATGAGGTGACCCCCGGGAAGCCGGAAGACTGCAGGAAGAATTTGTTTGTGAAGATAAACATGGACGGAGTCCCCATTGGAAGAAAAGTGGACCTTAAATCCTATGGCTGCTACGAAAAGCTCTCCTCTGCGGTAGATGAACTCTTCAGAGGTCTTCTAGCAGGTAGTTTACGTGGTTTAGAGATGGTTGAAAAATTAGGCCATTTTCATTTATCATCTTCCTTGTAGTATCGTAACTCTTTTTCTTTGCTTGGTGTTTTTCTTTGTTCGTTTAGCTCAAAGAGATTGTTCGGCTTCTGGAAATCATAACAAGACAGAAGAGGTTAAGGCAATAACAGGATTATTAGATGGAAGTGGGGAATATACTCTTGTTTACGAAGATAATGAAGGAGACAGGATGCTGGTTGGAGATGTCCCATGGCAGTAAGCATCTTCCCAGTGCAAAGCTGGTGTTCATTTTTAATTGGTTTAATTCATTATAGAATGTTTTCTGTGATTCTTTCTCTTGTATCTTATATTTTGTTCGATCAAATCTACCTTTTTCCCACTGTTTCCATTTCTTTATTCCACTTGTTCCTTTTTCAATCACATTCCTGGTAATTTGCTCTAGTTGCTAGATAACTGTGAGCAAGTGAATGATGATAATTGAAACATCTTTCCTACAGCATGTTTGTGTCGACGGTGAAGAGACTGCGTGTGTTAAAGAGCTCTGAACTGCCTGCTTTACACAGTACGTCAACTATTTAACCCACTTGTTCTTGTGGCTTGTTGGGTCTTTTAAGCTTTGATTGATACTGAACGTATGATTTGGGTTCTTTCAGTTGGTAGCACCAAGCAAGAAAAGACACCACTTGACTCTGGAGTGAGATGAAGAAAGTGGAAGATGGATAAATTTTTCTCTGGTAGAATCTCCAGTACAGGATACCTGATTTGAGTTTTGAATTTGCCCTCTTTCTTTCGGTTTTTTGTTTTGGGTTTCTTCTTTCTTTCTTTCTTTGTTTTTGGGTGGGCGGGGGGGTGTCCTTTCCTGTTTTCAGAAATTGTTGTTTGCAAGTTTGATGCTTTTGTATTTTCTGGGACTGGGAGGAATGGACTTTTTTTGCTTTTTCTCCTCTTTTGCTACTGCACTACTGTTGGCATTTGTAGAAAGAAAACGGAAATCGATGGGTTCGAATGTATTCGAAGGAAAAGCATTCAAGTGTTTGGAACTAACTTACGGATCCTTTGTTCCTTTCCGTAATGGCATAATTCATACTCGTCTCCTTTTAAAGTTTGCTAATTGCTATTCCATAATCATCATCTCTTTAGGGCTGTTTCTCTGAGTCAATTAGACCGTCAATGCTGTTAACCTGAGGTCCGGTCCAGATTCAAGTCTTCAACCAAAAGGAGGACCTGACACCCCCACAAAGTAGTGAAGGAACAAAACAAGCTTTAGGGTCTGTATTTTAGAAGTTGCAGAATTAATAGAGCGGAGCCTACACCCGATAGAGCTTTCATTACAACTGGGAGTTAAAGACTCAAACCTTAATCGAGAAGGAACGGGGTGACCGTTGGATCAATTTGTGTTTGTGTAAAAGGCCCTAATAACTAGAATTGTTTGAAGCAAAGTAGGGGTGAACACAAATAGAGGTATTGTGGGTCATTTGAACTCGGCTCTTTAAAAGTTAAATTCAGTTTGGTCCAAATCGAACTTCGAGTTAAGTTCGATCCAATATTTGGCTCGATTGTTAATCAAGTTTGAAGCTCGATATATGAGGCTTGCGAATATAATTGAGCGTATATACTATTTTTTATTTTATAATAAGAAATAATTTTTGTGTAAATTTTCACTTTTATATATATAAAGCTTCGCTCACTGTCAAGTAAGCTGTGCAGAGCATGAACAAATGAGTTTAAGTTTAGCTTTATATTTTTGGGATTTTTGGACTGCAATCCCCCTCAGAAATCTTTTTTGCAGAGTTGAGTTCGAATGGTCTAATACTTAGTTTGTCTTGGGTTGTAGGGAAAGACTAAACTGGAGATTTTGCTGATCTGACTCAAGTTATCACTTCAAACAAAAAGCCCTAATAACACTATATATCAAGAAATTATAAATCCTTGCAATTCTCTCTGAATTATTTTGAGGGTGGACATTGTGAAAGTGGAACTAACCCAAAAGATTCTTGGCAACCTAAGCTATGTTTGGTATCAATGCTGTTTTCTCATGTAACAACTACGCCTTAAATTTAGTAAAGTTACTCCGAATTTTATGCATATATATTTTTATTGATATTTGGTGTCAGCTACACCACATAAGCAAAAAGGTGAAAACTTAAAACATGGTCTCTAGTTTCTACTGCCCAAAACTAAAAGTGAAAATGATGTTTATCCATAAATGGCTCTTGAAGAACCTAAGACCTAAGTCACTTAATATCACTTAAAACAGCTTGAAAAGTTACTGAATTGACAAAAACATGTAGGAAAAAAAAAAAAAAAAAAGACCTACCTAAAGAACCGGAGAATAGACTCAATATCCATATTAATGGGTAAGAGTAAGGGCACTAATTGTGGTGGAGTTGTCTTCATATCAAGCATTATCAACTGGCTTAGTAGCTTACGCTACATCCCCACAATCACCCTAGTTGTAGCTTGAAGATGTAATAGCCACAACCACAATATAAAAAACTCTAAAGTCTCTAAGAGCTCGGCAGAGTGCGTGATGGGTGACATGAAAATCATCCAAATTTAAGGGACCTAATGTTGGGAGGTCGCAATCAGCATGTGCCCTCCCTGTTTGAAAGTGTAAAACCAAGGATTGGCTCGTGGTGTTCAACAACAAGGTTGTTGGTTTTGTTTTTGAAAACAAAGACATCAGCAAATTATATTATTTTTGCTGATGTGGCAATTATTTTTATTTTCTAAAACAATACCAGTATCGGATGAATTTGGATGAACTGGAAGCAAAATCATACACACTCGGCTGAACTACCAATCACAGTTGAACACTGCTTACTGTGGGTTGCATATGGGACTCAGTTGTACTGAACACTGGCATGTTCAACCGTGATAGATAGGTAGTTCAGCTAGGTGTGTATGTTTTTGTCTCCACTAATCCGTCCCTGTATTGAATACCTCATTAATTTTTAGTGTATTTTCTGTGTGTCTGATTTTGTAAGCATCTATTTGGCATTGATGCTGTATCGGAAAAAATGGTGTTCCAAGAAATGTCTATTTGTTTGAAACTGTTTTTCATAAAAAACAGTGCTCCAAGTCACACATTAGAAATCGGGAAGGTGTGGCTTGGAGCAATGCTGAATTTGACATTTCCTGGAGCTACAGCTCATTGCTGTCATCCGGGATATGACGTAGCACTGGATAATAGGTAACAGTGCTGAAAACATTTCTAAAGACACCGTTTTTTTTTTTTTTTTTCAGAAAATGGTGTTTTCAACCCACACATCTGCAGAATGGATGCCAAACATATATTAAAGAGCAGCCCCAGTTCCAGTCACAAATTCAAGGTAAAGATCTTTTAGACTTTTTTATATGCATTTTTTGTTTCTAAAGCCCTTCTTGGCTTTTAGCCTTTAGGAGGATGTTGATTGTTTTTAACTTTTCTCTCATGGATTGCAGACTAAGACAAATTCGACATAGCAGGCTTAAATCAGGAGAGATATTGCCGTTCATTATCATAGTTCATACTCCCATAGTTTAAGCCAATCAAGGAGGAGTAACATACATTTCCATGCCCCCAACCAAAAAAAACCCCTTATGCACAAAATCAGTAGTTTCATTGCGATAAAACTTCTTAATACATCTAGAAGAACATAAAAATTAAATCCCAGTATTTTATTTTATTAGCATCATATACTATGGGGTTAATACTTGCAAATGACAATTGTGCAAATATTTTAATATTCAAATCCAATTAACAAATTAATACATTTAAAAGGTAAGGAATAGTAAAATAAATTCAAATCCAAATATCTTTTTATATTTTATCTTTACTTGCCGCATGTACATAGTACGTGCCCTTCTCTTCCTTCTGGCTGTTCTATTTCCTTGTTGACTTGATATTTTAGTCATTCTATATTTTCCACCATTGGATTCTAATTAAGGTACTATATCAATTAAAGAAGAAATCCTGACGACAAATCACTAACCGTCTTTATCATTAAATTTGACAATTCTATTTTTGGCTTAGGCTGTGCTAGCATGGAAAATCCTTGTATTTTTATCCCCCAAATCAGCCAATTTGTTTTCAGCTTTTGGGCCCATATGATTTCTTTTCTTAAGTTGCTTATCCGTTTTTTGTTTAATTTACTCAAAACAACTTTTTTTCTCATTTGAACACCCAACTGGCATTGACTTTTCCTTCGTTACTAGCTGTTTTTGATTTGTGTAATCCTCATTTACACCTTTTCATACATACCTTTATTTCATCTTTTTAGTTCACCTTTTATTTATTTATTTATTTTTTAATTTGTAAGTGAGTGAACTGAACTCAAAAGGTTTTGATTTTTTTTGCCTATATAAAAAAAAAAAAACAGGTATGTACCTGGGTATTCTCAAACAGCTCTCTCCATCACCATACATCTATCCGAACCAGCTTTTCTTTAATGTTGTTTTGTGGCATTTCTATTGCTAGACCAAATCTTCGTTCAGGGACTAAATCTGTTGTAGCCCACATTGGTTAATTATTTTTATTCCTCGTCAGTTCAGCTTTCTTACCTTGGCATATCTTTAGAGTTTAGACTATATCAAATCGAAAATGCCTATACAAGCCCATATATATAAGCTATTGACTTGGGATATGCAAGATGAGTCCATTTTCTTAGAAAATCGGTCCTTTGTGTGCTCTCATCTCATGTACTCACCAGTCACCATATATAAATGAATACATGCACTTTTTTTTCTCTTATGGTTCCAACTTAATATCATGGATTGTGGGGTTACTGGGTCAATCTACTGGTTGGTCCGTTCTATCTGTAAACCAGTGACTCTAATGTTTGTCGAGTTCCCCAAAAAACAGAAAAAGTTCAGTTGAAGTTTGACAACACTGGATATTCCTTACCCTCCTCATCCTCTTCATCATTGATGAGTATTGTGTTATATTCAAGAATGATAAATCGATTGGCAAGTAGAGAAGATAGAATAGAAAACATATACAGAGGAGGTTTATATGGTTCAACTTATATAGCCTACTACATTCACAGGCTTCAGAGAAGAAGAAATCCCCAGTTCCCCACTATTTGGTAATGGAGATTTACAGTAACAGCATTTCAACCTCTCACCAAACCCTAGCTCCCAAAACATCCGCCACTCTAGCTCTCCTATTTCTCTCCCACACTCTTGCCTTCTCATACAAGATATCTAAGATTGTAAGATAAAAGGCTATTTATACCGATAAAATCTTACCGGGTTGGCCTCCTCAGAACCGCTAAGAGTCGAAGCTCACGAGTCTCGCTGTGAGTCCAGAGTTGCGAGATCAGTTTGTGATGCTAGGCTATTGTGATCTGCAAGATCATCCCAAAGCGATCTGCAATTAATACCAGCCTATTGTGCGATCAAGTGACATGCAATTCCACCTAATATGTATGTGATGCCATGTCCAAGTGACCTGCGATTATCCAATCGCAACTACCTCAATTAGGATTGCTTCAGCACGTCCATATCGCAGGTTCACTTTCACCACAGATCACTATGGAATGGAATTTTGTTCTCGGGTTTTTCTCCACTTTCTTCAAGTCGGGTCATGGAACAAATTGCAACTGGAATTCAAGGCACGCATCGATACAACACTCATCAAAGTACCTGTCTCTGTCTCTGTCTGGGAGAGGCGGAGAGCTGAAGCTCAATGACTTGTGGTTTTCCAAGGTGGACCTCTCACAAAATCCGGAGAGCTCAAATTGGTTGCCAGTCAATCATTTGAAGGACTGTCAGCTTCAGCCTCTTTGAATTAGTTTTATCTCGAGCGCATCAAAGCAGCTGAACCAGCATGGCTGAATTTTCAGCTCAGTTCTCCCAAATCGGACCTCAAAATCGGTTCTCTAGCTTTCATATAGAGTTTTCTGGGATCAATTTTCGAAGCCCATCTTTCTAGCCGTAGGGGAAAACCCTTGACTAACCAAAAAGACACAGCTGACACCATTTTGCTTATTACTTTCGATCTCGTCATTTCCACTGCAATATACATTAGTCCTCTCCTCCGCTTTTCCTTCCATATGATTCTTCGCTCCTCCTTTGCTAGTTCCACCATACAGAGTTACTGTCCAAAAACCTTCCGGCGCTATTACCTAGAGAGCATCCTCGCTCCTACAGAGAGACACAGAGTAATCTCCCCCTACAGTTACAACACTTATTTGGCACACTAAAGCTGCATTTGGCATTTTTTATTCTTGGTATGAAAATCAAGATTTTAATAGGAAAAATGAGATAAGTCCTCAAAATAAAGAATGTCAAATGAAATCTAATTGACATAATTAGACTGATTGAATATAGGGGTTTTTATACTTCTCAGTGGACTGCAGTCTATTTATCCCTTAAATAATATGTAGAAGTACGGATATATCCGATGCAGAATTCTGAATTCAGCATTCCCCTGTTTTATACATATGGTGCATTTTCTGAACTGTCAGTTTGAGCATTTTCTTAACTGTCAAACAGAGCTTTGGAACTCGGATCTTCTAACAGACCTTTTTTTTTTTCTTTTTCCCGAAACCTAACAGAGTTCCAAAGCTCTGTTTGATTAGAGTGTATGGATGGCCCAGACGGATCATTTTGGTCGGTGGTCTTGGAGAACATAGCATAATTTCTTATATCCGGTGATTGATGTGGAAAGAAGGGTCATTGTCGTTTTTCTGATAGAGATGGAAGGGTCATTGTCGTTGGGAAGTGCCTAACCCTGGCCATGGGTTCAAGTAAAAGTTTCGGTCGAAGACGAAAGGAATTTTCCTGTGCAATTGTGTGGAGAGTTAGAAAATGAGAGAAGGTCCCATCTTTTTTTAGCTTTGTCGGATCTTTTCCCGTCCATTCGAATATACTACACAGTATTACCTCGTGTGGCAAGTCTCGAACCATGTACAGTACCCGAAGAAGTATGGATAAACCCATTGCAGAATTCTGATTTTCTATCTACAACATTTGAAAAGGTCAATTATCCCACCTTATGCACCAATGTCCACCTATGAATTGACATCAATTCCGATCTAACATTTACCCCAACTGTACTTCAGGCCTATGAAATCTAACCCTGGGCTGAACCATCATTCTCCCTTTATTTTCTTTGCCAAAAGCACGTACCCCTCACAAGGGTGATGGAGAATTTTAGGACTACTTCAATTCAAATGCGTATAACTTTTCTTTTTATTGAAATAATACATGGAAAAGCGACTGATGTATTTATTTTAAGAAGAATCGATGGGCAAATTTCACAAGCAGTTCTTTTTAAGTACATTTTATATAGCCCAGCCTGGAATTGGATAGCTCATGAGATTCCTCCATCTGGCAGAAATGCGTACTGCACTTGATCTTTAGGCCAGAGACCGAGAAGAGAAAGGCATAGCTGCGGGCTGCAAAAATAGACGGAGATGTTAAATGTTAAGTGAGCTTCCGTGATTGACTGTATTAGGAATTCAGGGAGCCTTTTTCTTTTGTTGATTATGATTTGCCAAGTAAATGCAACAAAACTTTCTGATCGTGCCCTTAGTTCACACCTCATTTGCACAAACCTATTGTTTCAAATTGAATTTTAATTATGTATAACTATAATGTTACAAAACAATCAACCTGGTTGCTAATGGCTGAACATGAAGAATCAATCACTTGATGAGAAGTAAAAAACAATGAAAAAAAAAGAAACTAAATAACTACATAAAAGAAAAAGAATTTTCCCATCTCCTAAGTCCACCACCAATTTTCAGTTACTGAAGCCTGCTACCCATCAAATTTTTTGGGTTGTTGCCACTGTGCTAAACTTCTTGCCAAAGATCCAAGGAATGAATTTTTTGGTAAAGCGCTTCTCTTCCCGTACAGATGTTTTCCACCCAAATCTGAATATCTTAAATTACACTCCTTACTCCTCTCGATCTGAAAAATAAAAAGGTAAACCATATCCTTTTAGCAAGTAGTTGGGATAAGGCTCAAATGGTGATGATGTATAAAAAAAGTAACCAAAGCTATGAAAACTGCAACCCATTAACAAAACTCAAAAAGGGAGGGTGATCTCCCTAGTCCTTCAATCATGCAAAGCAAATAAAGATTCCTAAGATATGATGAACTGGTGACATGCATGCCAGCCAGTGAGGGTATGATTGCAAGTCACCATGAAAACAGGACTTGGAAAAGTGTAAACCATATTTATGATGATAAATCTAGACTTGAGTCACCTTGTTTATCTTCCCATTCTTCAAATGATACCGAACACCAGACCAATTGATAGACTGAGAAAAATGTGATCGGATTGCCGAAATAGGGTACAAGAAATTGTCGACCAATATAGCAAGAAAGACCTGTTTGAATGTCATAGTTAAATTAGTAAATTAACATTTTTCTAATGAGAACGGACACCAAACTGCAATTCTACGCAGATATAGAGGCCTAATAAGCTCTGAAAACCACAGAAATAAAATCCCACCTAACCTTGTATTAGCAAACATGAAAGAACTAACAGCAACCTGTCATGCTTCTAAAAACTTGAAAAAGTATCAAGGATACTTACAAGGGCCCAATTATAAGAATCAAGTGAGACTGGTGGACCCTCTGGAGATAACATGTTGCAGAGTTGAATTTCCACCTTCGTCAAGTTCCACATTGAAAGGAGTTCTACAATAGTGCATATAGCTAAGCACCCCACCAGTACCAAGCCTGTGAACAAAATAATGTACAATATTAAACAATACAATATGCATATGATAACAGTTTAAGACATTGCAATTGTGTCTACTTTTCCTTTATAAAGCCAAATGCTTTTCTTTGCTTTTGTGTACAATTCTTCATGTTAAGCTATCATGTTATTAATAAATACTGCATTCCATCTATGGACCCTGAAACAAGTCAAGTTATCCTGCATAATTATCTTAAGCTGATTTAGAACTACCTAAGAAGGGAAGGTATGTTCTCACCAGAAGTAAAGGCTGTTTCCTCGCCTGAGTACTTATAGTATGCTCTAAGTGCTGCTGCAATATGAATTGTTGCCATAAAGTATGGTATAACAAATCCCCAGGATAGATAGCAATGAGAAGAAAACAAGGCACGGTTCATCATCCAGTTAACCTTATCAATGTATGATTCCAAAACAAATGTTTGCTTCCTCAAATAATTCCAGTACCTACAATAAGAATAAGGGGAAAAGAAATTGTGGAATATGGACAAAGTGATTAACAGTTGAATTTGAAGGAAAAACTGGTAGTGAGCCCCACAAACCTTGGGAAACTGAGATCACTTGCAAGAGGATGAGGAAAGACGGCAACAGGTGGTGATGTAATTAACCTCTTATGTGCCCCTACAGAGTGCGATTTACAAATAATCAGCCATCAATTTTGTCCATTTCAACCAAAAAATATGGATAAGACTTGATTCTAAATTCTGATGACCAACTTCCCATAGAATTTGGTAACATATAATGGTGGTGGGCCAAGAAGTCTGAATAACAATGGAACCAAAAAAGAAGAAAAGAAATGTCCATTTTGGCTAACTGCACTTAGAGTATTTTACCCTCCAAATTGTCCTTAAATTTGTTATGGCAATCCAAAAAAAATGAGACATTGCTTAAAAGAAAGAGGTAAAATAACATTTATATTATGGCATAGATTTGTTGAGATAAATAAGAAGCGGTTCCTGTCTACATAAATTGTCCTGAGATAAAAAGAAAAAAAAATCATGGGAAAATAATATTACCAGCTATTGCTGCAAGGGTCATATCATCAGAGTATCCACCATCTCGGAGTCCAGAAACCACACCATATAAGTCATGTCTAAAATCATCTGCATGCATCTGAAAATATGAACTAAAAGAATTAAAAGTGGAAGTTTGAGTTTAAGTCGCTGTGGTGCTAAAAACAAAGTAGAGCTAGTTTTACCATCATGCATCCTCCCCATAGAAAGAATGTTCTTCCCCCAGTTGCAAAACCCATCGAGCAAGGCTGAAAATTTATCAACATTTGGTATATTTAGAGGTTGAAAAGATATTATAAATCCTTATTTAGAAAATAAAGAGAAAAAAGAAGGCTAACAAATATATCTTAGATGTTGTAGCAATATATATATATATATATATACTTAGAAATTGTAGCACATTTTTTTTGAGAATGTAGTAATATCAAGAAGAAAAAAAAATCAACTCTCACTAAATAGACAAATCCCCTAATAAAATTTTCTCCATACTAAGATGGAAAGAGCTGCAATATCCTCCAAGGTTAAAAGCTTTGCTTATAATCCACCAACCATCATGATAAATACATTGTTGAGAAAACATGCCAACTCCAGACACAACTTAGATTCAATCCTAGATTTGATTGTGTGGCTTGGACATAAGCATGAAACCATTCTGTATCATGTAAAAAACCAATAGTAATAAGAGCCTCGTGTTTCCAAATTTTTGCCTGAAATATTTAGTTTGATAGATTTTGGTTAGAAGATAAGTGCATTTAATCCCCACTTTCCCTGAGGCAAGATAAGTGCCTGAAAGAAACCATTCTGTATCATGTATAAAGTCCCATTATCTTTGCTTTATGCAATAGATGCAACATCCATATTGATCAAAGAAAAATTAGAAACATGTGACATCCAACTGAATGGAGTAGAAATTAAAAAGAAAAAAACAACATACAAGACTCGTATGGATCATAAATACCATTAGAGATTGAGAAAGGTGCGTTTCAGATGGTGATATACCATATGATATTCATATATGCAGTAACTTCCCAAACTTCCAGAAGGCAAATCAAGAGGGTATCCAGTTTGAATGAATATCTGCATGTCATTGGCAACAGAAATAAGAAAGAAATTAAAATTCAACTTTTACATGTAATGGACCCCAAATATACACAGTAACAACATTTGAGGGAAGAAAGACCAATAACCAAACAGAGTCTAAATAAGGACGGGAGCATTAAGAAAGCACAATGAATCCATACCTGAGGATTCTTTTCCATTTCTGCAGTTAGGGCTCCTATGGAGCCAGGATGCAACCTAACATCATCATCCAGGAATAACACATATTTGCTCTCTTTATGCATATTCTGCACCCCAACCTGTATATGCATACCACAAGGATGAGCAATTATCGTATGATGTGCTTTCCGGCCAATACAAATAGAGAATTTTTAATAAGCCGAAATAACATGTCAATGATAAGTACACAGGTTATAGTGCTAAGCTAAACATCTATGTTTAAACCATGATTCCTTGCAACCATGCACATGATTCTGGCCTTGATATGTTTCTTTCCAGAAATAATATATGAACCTTATCCTATATCATAAAAAATTCATAGAAATGTAAAACTAAGAATAGTTATGAAAAAAAAAATGTACGACTGAGAATAGATCTACAAGACCCAGACTTTGGAGGGAGAAAATAACAGGTTTCAGAAAATCCAGACATAGTAGTTTTCCTCCCAAAAGAAAAAATTACAGAAAGTATTTTATACAAAAGAGAGAGCACAGTGTGCCCCAAGGAAGAATCAGTGAAGAAGTTTGAACACTTTACATACTAACTGATTATGAATTTTCTGACTGCACGTTGTTGATAAACCAGCTACAACAATCTTAGCATCCACGCTATCCTGTAACAATCAACAAGCATAAGGAAATTAGAAAAGGAATGTACAGAAAAGATCAACAATTCCAGCCAGCAACTGAGCAGCACTTAAAAGTGACTACTAACTAATTGATCCAATACTGCAAAAGGATTTGTGCAGAAAATGTATGGTCAAATTCAAATACAATACAACAGAACATAACTAAAAGTTCCCATTCATTACAACACGCTAACAGGTATAAAATATTGAATAAGAGAAGAGAATGCAAATAAAATGCTTAAATAATAATGGAAGATATATCAAAGATTGTCATGATAGAAAGTTTCAGCTGATCCCCAGACCACTCTCATAAGTCCAAAGTCCAAACCAGAATATCTCCATATTTGTCTGTATGTTGGCGTTGTTTCATTTGAAGAAATACAAAGGCATCAACCAAGTCCTGTTTGGATGGATCGAGAAGAGGGTAGATTCTCAATTGGTGCTGCCTTGATAACCCTGGAGCTGGAGCTTCAGGATCAGGAATAACCAGTCTTTAGAGATGATTTGAGAGAGGGGAGGGGGGGGGGGATATGCTACTCAGCTATTCAGACTCTTCTTGAAATGGAAATGGAATCTCTCAAAGCAGAATTATTGGCACTACTTTTACAACATTTAAAACTAGCCTTTTCATAGGAACAATTGTCTAATACTGTAGTAGAAGTGGACTTTCCAGAGGTGACTAATTGGTTATACTCAAGAACAGAAGTCCCTTCAATTTCCAAGACAGGCAAGCGGTCACAAGGGATAATCTGGTTTGGGGGACAGGGAGAAATTTCCAACCCAGGGAGAAATTTGTAAGCCCGCATTCTATTGCCGGAAACCTAGGAGTTCTTATCTTTCTACTTTAATAAAATTATGATTTGCAATTGCTGATAAAAAACACCACCCAAGTCAAGATTCTGCTGATGATTTCAAGGCAGATAGTTTTCTTTTGAAAGGTAAGATTTTATTAATTCAGATAGTACAGATTACAACAGAAAAGCTAGCCATATAAGGACTAGACAGGGCAAAAAACCAAGTTACAGACTCCAAATGGACTTGGATCTAAGCCAAGTTAGACTCCAAATGGACAGGGCACCCAAGAAATCAGCTTGCTGATCACCCCTGCTGCACTACCTCATCAGTGCTCTTTGTCTTGTTACAAAAGACTCTCCTGTTTGTCTCTGACCAGATTACCCAAAGAACAGCCACAGGAATTGTCTTCCATATTAACTTTCTTTTTTTTCTTCAGGCCTGTAATCTCCCAGCTGAACAGATCTTTGACTGAACTTGGTATGACCCAGCAAAGTTCAACAGCCCTGAGAAAATGATCCCATATTCCCATACTCTAGAGGAGACAGGACAGTGAACACAAAGGTAGTCTGTGGATTCAGGCAATAGACCACAAAGACCACACAGCAGAGATGAGAGATGAAGACCCCTCCTATCCAAATTGATTTTAGAGAGGCATTTGTTCAGCACCATTGTCCACACAAGGAAGTTGGATTTAGAGAGAGAATTAGGATTCCAAACTTGATTACAGGGGAAGTTAACACCACCAGTGCTACTGAGTTTAGAAGTCAGGGATTTAACTCAGAAGCAGCCATCCCTACCCCAGATCCAGTTCCATTGATCTTCACTGTTGGTATCTATAATCTGACCCTGTAACAGGTCCAACAGCCCCAAGATCCCATCTACTTCCCAATCAAACAGGTCTCTTCTGAACTGAGGGTTCCAGACCACTGTGTTATTGGAGAGAGTATATGACTCCGCCACTGAGACTTCTTGATTTGCTGCACATAGAAAAAGAAGGGGAAATGCCTCAGCTAAAGGTCTGTCCAAACACCAAGGATCTTCCCAAAATTTCAGTCTGCCACCTCTACCCAGCTTAAATCTCACACCTCCATACATCAAAGGTAGACTAGACTTTTGAGAATACCTTTCCAAACAGAGCAACCCCAATTTGAGAATGGGTCCTGTGAATTCCAGTTTCCCCAATCCACCCCGTTTTATTTTTTTTTTATCAGAAAAATGAGTAATTTATTAATGCTTGAAAAATTTACAGATCCTTACTACAAAGTTGCCCAAATACAGCAGAAACCAGATTGGCCACCCTGATTACCATGCCCCTTTTTACTATTACAGATTACAACATTGCCCAAAATAGAGTGGACCTGTCTACTCCCTGTTTTGCGAGAATATCTACCAATCCATTTGCTGATCTTTTTACCCATCCAAAGCTAGTGTTACAACTTTTTGCAAGGTAGTCAAATTCCCTGAAGGCAAATTTATATTTCCAAGGAGTTGAACTAATTTGTTTTGCCCAAGAAATAACCAATAAGGAATTTCCTTCCACTTCAAGCTCTCTAACACCCATCTGTGTTGCCAGTTTTAGTCCTTGTAAGAGAGCCATTGTCTCAGCCTTAACCGAGTCGCCAAATCCAATTGGCCCAGAGAATAAGGCCACAACTGCACCTAGATGGTTTCTGAAAACTCCCCCATACCTGTCCTCCCTGGATTACCAAAGGAGCTCACATCAAAATTTAATTTCAATTTGTTTGGCCTTGGAAGTTTCCATTCCATTATCATTACTTCTTTGTGTGTATCTGTTTGTACCACTTCAGACCATTTCCATAATAAGTCATTTGTGGAAACATCCTGAGGGGGTACCCATCTGCAACCAAAAAGAGAGCAAAAGTAGTCCCAAATACAAGTTACAAACGAACAGGAAAGTAGTAAATGAGGAAGGGTTTCACCACAGGCCTTGCAAAGGGTTTCACCCCGTATTTAGAGGCAATCAAGTTCCTCCACCAGGAATTTCTTTCAGAAGCAAACCTCCGGCACCACTTACTCAATAGAGCAAAATTTACCACCTTCAACTTTCTTAAGCCCAGACCCCCTCCTCCCTAGGCAAACAAACTTGATCCCATTTCACGAGATGAATTTTCCTCTCTTCTTCCCAGCCCCACCAGAGAAAATTCCTCTGCAGATTTTCAAGCTTCTTAGCTACTTTGGTTGGAATGGGAAAGAGAGACATGAAGTAGGTAGGAAGATTCGCCAGAGTACTTTTGATAAGAGTCACTCTACCTCCAACAGACAGGTATTTCACAAGGAAGTGCACCTGGCAGGCCATCAACCAAGCACACTCTTCCAAGTTTGGAACAGGGCCATAAAGGAGCCAATTCTGTTTTTATTTTATTTATTTTTTATCAATAACTTCAGATTTCATGTAGACAGAAACAAGGGGGGAGAGCTAAAACTCTTAACTCTTCCCAATGATAGAAATATTATTACAATTGAGCCCCAAAGAATTGATTTCATCCCACCCCTTTGTTTTGCCAAAGCATCAGCAAAACCATTAGATATTCTTTTCACCCAACTAACCCTCACTTCCATGTCTTGTGTCAACCATTTGAATTTATTCCTTTCATTCCTATAATTCCACAGTCCAGCTTCTACCTTTTGCAACCATCCCACCACCAGTTTTAAATCCCCTTCTATAATCAGTTTACTGATATTCATATCCTTTACCCTTCGCACTCCTTCCATCATAGCCAAGATCTCAGCCCTTAATGGATCCCCTTCACCTATTGGCCTTGAAAATAGACCAATAATGCTTCCCTCTTCATCCCTGGAAATGCCACCAATACCTGAGGGTCCCAGGTTCCTGCACTACTCCCATCGAAGTTCAGCTTTGTGAAACCATGGAGTGCTGGGGACAGACTTATGCCTATCTGAACTAGCCACTTCTTTCCAATTTCTCATAATATCACTAACTGAAAAATCAACCAAAAGCTCTGATGATTTTGCCCATTGAACAGCCCTGATGGTGATGGTCTCAATAATGGCCTCTCTACTTCTTTCCTTGTCTGAAAACATTCTTGCATTCCTTTCCTCCCAAATTGTCCACACTAAGGCAGCTCTTACACATCTCCACAACAATCTTCCCCTCTTCTTTGGCCAACTAAAGAATGAAGAGGCAAACAAACTTTGAAAAATTGGTGGAGGGGTCCACCTACACCCAAACAAAGAAAAAAACCAATCCCAAATAGAAGAGACAAATGGGCAGGAGATTAATTAGTTCTACTAGATAGCTTAATTTGGGTTTAATAACTATTGACAGCATTCTGAATCCTATGTCAAGTTGTCAACAATCTTTTTATGACTATATCAAATAGTATGCATATAATTCTCAACTACAATTGATATAAAATTGCCCTTTTCAATCCCTAAATTTCCTTTATTAGTAACAACAACACCTAACTCAAATATCACCAGGTGTCTGAATATTAGCCATAATCTGCCAAAGTGAACTCATTTTTTGGTCTGTCCATTACAACAATGAAAGGAGAAAATTCAGAAGGCTGGTTAAGGACATGGAAATAAAGTTCAGTTGGGTGAAGAGATCTGCTAATTCGTTTGCTGATGGGTTAGCTAAGCTAGGGGTGGACACGAAATCTATATTTTGGGCTCAGTTGTAATTCTGGTTTTCTCATTGTGGGGGTTCATGCCTCTGCTGGGGAGTTAAGAGAGTTTATCTCCCCCTTTGTATAATTAATTATTCTGATTGATTAATGAAAGTTTTGTTATTGATCAGAAAAAAATTGCTACTTCAACCTTTAAACTCTTTTCAACTCTAAAGCTCTGAGAAACTTTCCTAAATGACAAGGTAGTATAAATAAGAAACAGAAAGTATGGGAAATTCCTTGAAGGCTGAGCTGTTGGCTATATTGCAAGGCCTCAGATTAGCCAAACAACTGGGCTTCAGGTTGGTTGAGCTAGAAGGGGATTCAAAGTAGTTAATTCATGGGCAAACACCAACAGGCATATCCTCTGGACACTTAACACGTGATAAGGGAAGTGGATGAGATTGCAAAAGACATGGGATGAATTTAAGTGGGTCATAAGGAGTGCAAATGGGTTCACTGATTCTCTTGATAAACAGGGAGTAACAAGACAGCAGTTGTTCTGGGCTTGTTTGAATGTGGGCTTGAGAATAGGGAATGACATTCCTATGATCATGTTGTACTAATCACCTCTTTAAATCTATTGATACAGATTTTATTTTCTGCTGACCAAAAAAAAAAAACAGCAAGTATAATTATAGAAATAGGAAGAGGGAAAAAAGGATAGTCACTGGTAAAAATAAGGCTGAGGACAGGCTGGGCTAGGTGATAAATGGTACATAAGAAACAAGGGACAGGCATGGGACCAACCAGCCTAAAGTTGAGTTGAGGTTGAGTTCAGGTTGCCCTAGCCTGTCATGAATTGTACATATATAATGTGCCATATATTAGAAGATAGCAATATATACAGTGAATATAAACTCACAATACATAATACACAGTATATTCACAATTAATAATTGTTTGCAATTAATTACTATAAGACAGTACAAAATTCAGCCAGTGGTAAATCATTTACATTAAAATCAGAGATCAACCGAGATACAGCATGATAAGCAGGGTCTTCTGTACTCTCTACCACAAAAAGAAATTCCAGGGAACCACCATAGAGGGATGTGATCTGCATAATCCATTAATGCAAATAAGAATCAGCACTTGGAACAGAGCTAAGTCATGCAAAAATGAAACAACTTTCAAGTTTAAAGAAAGTAATTGATAAAGTCCAAATACTAGATTAAATTATAAGAATTAAAGTAGAGCAATTTATAAGTTTTTTTTATGTAGAAACCAGTTTTAGAGCAAAATATACTACAAAAGGAAAAACAAGCCAAGAAAATCTTCCAATGTGCACTAGTTCCATTGGTACTTTTTTATCCAAAGAAAAATATCCTCTCTTCACTCTTCTAGAAGATAAAAAACATAAACCTATCTCCAACCAACCTGACTTCTCCAGTTTTGCAGATTGTGTTCTCCAAACCCCTTCAGAGGCATGACAACTGACACCCTTGGCAACTTGATCTGATTAGAGTGCTCGAGGTCATTGATATCTTGACAGAGAAAGGCAAAGCTATTACCATGTTTGATACTATCCTTCATCCTTCTGATCTCTCTATTCCTGCAGAAAGAATGAAGTTGTTTCATAGTCTTTGTTAGTTCTAAGTAAAGAAAAGCAGAGAATAGCTGGCCACCACATTACATTGGTTCATATGTTAAAACAAGATACCTGACGAAAGCAGCAAAAGCCCATCCTATTGCAAGAGTCAAGCAGATAAAACATCCCTACACCAAAGTAAATTAGTCAGCCACTATACATATTTACAACACAAATAACAGAATAACTTAGTGAAAACTATTAGAATATCCACAAATGACCATAAAAATGAGCAAAAGACACAAGAAGCTTAATTGCTGGCATATATATAGTTTGGGCTTACCCACAACAGACTGGTTGCTGGCATATACATTGTTTTATGAAGCTATCCATTGCATACATATTTCGTTAGACTGGGTAATATCCTCTTACATAAATACTTCTAAGTATTGGGTTCATCTTTGATGAAGCTGATTTAATTAAGCATGAAATACTTGAAATATACGAGGAAACCTTAAAGGCCTGTAGTCTAGTGAAGCAAGGCTGAAAATTAGTAGCTGGAAGAATTGCATTGTTCTAACAGGGCTGTCCCATTACTTGGATCTACACCAGCCAAATTACATAGATGAAAAAAAAAACATCGGCAAAGTACTGAAATCCTACTTATCTATCTTTAGGATCCCAAATTTGGTTGCAAGAGCTAACTCATAGAAATCAAAAAATTAAAAAAAAAAAAAAAAAAAATCAACAAATGCAGCAAAAAAATCTACCCACCCACCCACCCCCAACCTCCAAAAAAAACAGAAATAGTAGCTAAGATAACAATCACTCTTGTTCTGAGGGGCCATTTGATAACAGATGAGGTGGCTTTAACTGATGACATACTGTTGTCTTTTGGTTAATAAAGTAATCACATGATAAGATATTTAAGGGTATGGTAATCAACCCAACATGTCATTCAACCATTAAAGAGTTAATAAAGTAATCCTGCTTCCAATCTTAATTAGATGTTCAGTTTACATTCAGAAAGAGTTGACAATTCAAAATGAATGCCATGTACAAAGTGCTGATGCAAGGTCTGAATGCCATGCATGAAAAAATTAGTTAATAAATTTTTTAAGCCCCTTCCTAAGATTGTTTTCTTATAAGAGATCATGATAAGATGAGGTTTGAAATGCCATTACAAATTCGGATTGAAGAACATAAAATAATAAATTAAATGTAGGAAAAAGAGTATGTGATGGTATTCAACTTTATTTCCTTAGACTCAGGGATTAAGTAAAGGTTTCAGTTCTGTGGAATTGTAGAGACACGATTCATGGATAAAATAGAAAAATAAAATATTAGCCATTTCTCACTTACCATAATTCTTGCATATTGATTACAAAATGAGGATGGATTAGACTCCAAATTTTAGAAAGTGCAATTTGTAATATTTTATCAATCTATCGGATTATAGAAAATGATTTGGAGGTCATCGAAAGGAGTTGTCAGAATTCTGACCTACATTTGGAGTTGATCATAACTCCATTATCACTTATCAGTTACTGCCTTTAGATCCAAAAGGTGACAGACAAAAAGGTAAAAAACCGAACAATGTTGCAGACAAAGAAAGCGTGGAGCTTTGCAGTCCTTAAATGCCCAAACTAAGAACCTAACTTGGAACACAGAATACTCCTTGATCTAATAGTGCCTTAGGAGTTCGGAAGCATAATACAACTGAACTTCTTAGTTACCAGCTTACCCGAAGCATTGATCTGTTTATCCTTGGAGAAAACAAATTTGTATAACAGCCATCCCAATCCCCAACTTCCAACACGTTTGTTTTTCAGCTTTGATCTGGGAGGTTGCTTGACTAGAGAGATAGAAACATTGTAACCTCGAAACCTCACATAGCTTAATTGTCACCATGACCACAAAATATTGGCACCGCCACAAACAAAAAAAAATCGATCATTTAACCTCGACAAAGCGATGTACCATCACATAATCCATATGAGGCAATAATAAGTCTGGTCTACAGAATCCAGATTACATGCATAAGCACGTTACACCAAGCTCTGAGGATCAAAATTTGATGGAACCAAGCTCTCAATTAACCAAAAATTTCGACGATAAATGAGCGGTAAGAGAAAGAAGTTTTTTTTTCCCTTTCTCAGACAAACGACAGCGAAGGAAAAGAAAAGGATACAGGAAACCAGTTTCGTAGAATAACAAATCCACTACCTAACGTCGTTTTCTCAGATCCAAATCTTAAAAAGAAAAGAAAAAAAAAAACATTTGGACATGGACATTGATGCAAAGTTTGTTCCTTTTAAGAAGAAGAGAAAAGGCATTAGTGGAATACGAAACGAACCTGGATCTGAATGAAAACGGCGAGAGGACTACAACAAGCTCGAGTCGCAGAGAAGAGGAACCAATCAAGAGCTTCAAACGCCACCATTATAATATCTCCCTCTCTCAGTCACTGCGCTGGGGCGGGTAGATTTGTCTCAGAAAATGAAAATGCCCCAGTTGGTGTAGCCTCCTCCGCTTTTCCTTACTGTTCCCCCCTTAAATCAAATGGACAAAAAATAGAAACCATATCCAACGAAATAGAGGGGGAAGAAGGAAAAGAGAAAGGGTGTCAAAAAAAAATTGTGAGAGCGGCTGGTTTTATCTTAATCTTGCAGCACTAGTACAGCCACTCCTGCACATTGACGGATTGACCACAAATCTCACCCCTATTTTATGCAGAAACCAAATTAATTAGACATTAAAGAGATACAGCCCCCAGAGAGATAGAAAGGGAAGAAAAGAGGAGGGAGAGACCGTTGATGGGTTGAAGTTGGCGATTACATTTTACTTATACATAATATGAGCTTGAACTATAAAGGGTTGGCGATTCAAATCGTGCGAATGCACACGTGTGAACTGTGAAATGCATGATTCTACTGTACACTGTACTGGAAAATTGAAATGTGTCTGGGGAAGGTTCGCCCGTTCGGGATGTGGGATCCTTGGAGAATGATACTTCAATTTGGTTCGAATCTTCATTTTTTTTTTTTTTAATTTTCCATTTTAATCAATCACAACACAACTTACAACTTACAAGTTGTTTTTTGGGTTAATAACTGACGACTAATCTTCATTATTATAGGCTTATAGCTGTTTTAGATGGCGATGTCTCTCTGTGGTCTGTCCCTACAGTATTGATTACCTATACCGCTCTGGGGTCCACTAACGCTCAGCGTATGATCTCTCTAGAACATCAATCAGTAACATCGGGTCACAACAAAAATCATGCCACGTTTGATTTTGGTTAGCTAAGGTATTACGCAAGTTGGATAGCACTAGATAATTAGCCTTACCGCGTCAATTCGAAAATTTTCGATTCATGGGACTAGACCAGAGTGCCCATTGGTTGGATGATCCACCAGTAATTGACGTCAGATTGGAACTTGTTTTGCGAGTTTAAGCTACTACATTGATTTCTTTGACATCAAACAGCTAGCGTTGATTCATTAGCCATTACTAGAAGAGTAAAAGAGTAGTAAAACTACCGCAGAAAAAATAAGTAGAAAACTACCACCCGCTCACAGACCAAAACGAAAATAACCACCACCGCGTACATCTTCCTGAATTGGGATCTGCTCTTCATAGGGCGCCTCACAACGACCTCAAAGTCAAAGGTACATCCCACCGTTCATTGAGAAATGAGAATATCTCCTGTAAATAATAAAAATATTCTTAAATATACCTGTGAGGTCAATGTGAGGCGCTCTGTATAAAGAGTAGATCCTGTCTCCATTTTTTTACGGTAATTACAAAAAAAGTACATGGTAGTTTGGTTTGAGGCGCATTCTGTGAAGAGTAAATCCGAATTTGCCTATATGGCTTCGGATCCGGGTCCATTAAAGAAAAAAATAGAAATCGGGATTTAGTGATTTACTTCCCACATAACACACCTTACATATCTTACACCACATCCCACGGTCTGTTAGAAACATCTCCCTATTAATTCTTGATATACGGCTGCGAAGAGCAGATCCGGACACCAAAGAAAAAGATATCAGACTGCCACTGCCAGCATGGAATCCAGGCCAACATACCGGACACCCCTGCTCGAGTCCAAGTGTCCAACGCATGAGTTAATCGGATCCTGATTCATGATCCTAAGTTCCTAGCCCAATCGGATTCGAACCCAAATGCAAAATGCCAATAATAATAAAAAGGAATCATTTTTGTTCAGTAGTACGTATATAATATACTTGAGTATTGGGCTATTGGGCAATGAGCCAATGAATATGATAAAAGGGCACGTTATCACGTGAACTCTAATTTAGTTTTGGCTTTACGGTTTCAAGAGCAGCTCTTCCGTTTACCAATTGATATGATATGATATGATGTTATAAGGATCCACCTGTCACCTTTTGTTCTTTCTTCGTTTCATATTTTGATTTTCAGAGTTGGACATCATTTTAGGGGAAAGCCCACCATTTTTCAGTGCACCAGGTTGTAATTTGTAAGATTAAAAGCCACATCTTTTGAAATAAAAAGTTTGTTTTATGGGGCCATTCATAATAAATGGCCGTATATAGGAAAATAACCGGGAAGAAATAATAAGAAAGGGAAAAAATGTCTTGGCCTGAATCCATTAAAATACTGTTTAAAGTTTGAGTTCGAGTTCAACTTGAAATGTTGAGAATGAATATATTTGATATTTTTATAATAGGTAATATATTCTTATAATATATATAGAAAATAAAAATATATTATCATAATATATTTTTATATCTTATAATATATGTATGTATGTATTAAATGAGTCATCCTCATGAATTTTTGAGACAAACTTTATATTGATCGGGTTCAAATTCAAATAACTAATCAAGTTTAATTCAAGATTCAAGCTTGAATCGAACCTAATCGAATTTAAACCCAAACTATTCAATTAGAGCTCAGGGAATTGATGTTCTATGCATATGGGATATTTTGATAATCCAAAGCTAACATCCAAGTTATTTTCACTTGTTTATGCAGAAAAATCTCTACTTGAAATGTGGTCTAAATGGAGCATGAATTTTCTTTGGTGTCTTTTATTTTATTTTTAAATGATCATAGGACATATTAGTAATTTATGATTTGGGTAAAATACAAAGAATCACATTGTACTTTGGGGGCAGTGATACTTGGATACCCTAACTTTCATTTGCCCTCAAAAAGTTATCATACAAAAATTTATCCAATTGATAGAATTCCATCAGTTTTTAGCCTTTTATTAGGGTTGCAAATGGATTTATTCGAACTCGATAAATTGGGAACTTGGGATGACGACCATGGTTGCAGACGGCTGCATGGAGCTAAAATTGGACCATATATGGCATAAGGTCCGTGGAGCAGGAAGTGAAATCTTCTATTCCCGATGGCGTAGCCTTGGGCTGAAACCTGAAATTATGGCCTTTGGGCTTTGGATGATGCGTTTTGTAGCTCATCTTAACATCACTTCATCCAATTCAAAGTGGGGCCAAGGGCTATGATTTACCGCTTTAACCAAGAGTAGAAATGCCAACGGAGTGGGGATGAATCGGATGATATTCCTCATCCTGGACTCTAATTTTGAATTTAATTTTGATTCTCATTCTTGATCTCCATTGGAAATAAAAATTGTTTTTCATCTCTGATCTCCAATGCGGATGGATTCTCCATGAAGACCCAAATCCTTAAATTTTTTTGTTAATAATATTTTTTGACAAAAAAAATCACTTAAAATAAATAAAAAATTAAAATATAAATAATATTTTAAATATATTTTGATATATATATATATATATCGGGTTTGTTTAACCAAAAGCTATGCCAACGGGCGTACGTAGGCGTAACCACACGTTTCAACCCTCAACGTCTTCTCAACTCATATTACCCTGATCAAAGTACCAAACTGGGAATGAGAATGCACTTGTGTTCGTCGCCAACTCACTCGTTATGAAAGAAAAACAGCATTTGGAATATTGGTTGTCAATAGGCTGGTTGGCCTTAAGCCCTTAGCTGGCATTCAGATGCGGACACCATGTTGGGAATGATATGGGCATCAAAAGTCACATGGCTTTGCTGCCTTTGCCGCCTTTCAAGTCTCAACACTATACCCTTTTCCCTGCCAAAATCCAAAAGCTTTATTTCCTTTTATATACTCATATATATGTTGTGTTATTATATCACCCGCACCCCTACACTGTACATGCGATCTGGATCGCTCATCTGCTGCCTACTATATATTTATCATTCATGTTAGCAATATATATATATATATATATATATATATATATATATATATATATATATATCAATAGCTTGCATGCAACCCTTTAGATAATTTCCTGCTCAAAACAGCAACTACCAGTCTGTTGGTCTTAAGTCTTAAACCACATTTGGTAGTTGACACGTTTGTTTGTAGCTAGTTCCTCTTAACAACTTAACACAGCCTGTTCGATTCATATGTGGAATGAATGATGGAAAATATATATAAAAAGTAAAAGGTTTGAAAAGGTCTCAACGTCCAAAAATCAAGTCAATTTGAGAGATAGCCGTGGATGGAAGCGGCATAAAGGATATTAATTGATCCTTTTCACTTTTCAAGCGGGTTAAAGTTGTTGGAGGCCAACGGCCTCTACTGTTGAAAGAATTTTTGAGAATGTTACGTTATTTTTAGAATGGATAAATTAATAATTACATATTAATTTATTTTTATTAGATAACAAAACATGAACGTGAATAAGTGAGTTGTCCAAAACTTGCCCAGCAAGTATATTTTAGACAGTTTGGATATATTGTGGCCGTACATGTACAATGTAAAGATTGACTAGTCCCATTCAACCCGGAAAGGATCCGGATTCTTCAGCCGGAAAAGGGCTCAACCACTCACTAAGATTTCTTTGGGCCTAAGAATAAACTGTTTTTCCTCTTAAGTCGATACAGCACTTGATCATTGTCCATAAGAGAGAGAGAGAGACTGGGAAACTGGAAGGACTCTGGACGACTGGACGAGTGTTTGTTTTTATTTAATATTTGGTGTCATGCATGCACCACTACTTATTTGGTATTAATATTTGATTAATACGATATGGAGTTATGGATGAGATTGATGACATTCTTTTTGTGAAAGCTCTTAAAAGTTAGTTCCATTCAGCTTCAGCCAACTCTAAGTAGAGTGTCGAGGACTGATGCATTGCATGTCATGACGCCAATGGTGCATTCTCACCATTTGGATAATATTCAAGTTTCAATGTTAATGCGTGGTTGGTTTGGTTGCATGAGATCAGATTTAGGTTCTGTTTGATGATTAAGTACTTGTTAAAAGAATTATTTATTTTAACAATCCTTTAGATAGATTGGTAATCCATTTTTTCAAATCAATTATTATGTTTTTAAGTACTTATTGGGGTGGAAATGTTTGATAAGCTATTTTTCCTACAAGTGCTTATATTTATGCAAATGACAAATTTAACCATCATTTTACTCATACATATATACAATATTTTTCGCATATTATACTATACATTTCAACTAACAGCCCATGTGGATCCAATAATAATAATAATAATAAATAATCATAATAATAATAATAATAATAATAATGATAAGATAAACATGTAATCTGAGGAGCTATACTCGAAGTAACAAAGAAGAGAAGAGAACCACTGAAATGAAGAGAATGTGAACTGTACTAGCTAGTCGGCCAGTCTTTTATTTATAGATGAATGTAAAACAAGGTACAAAAAATTATTAGAATGCCCCTGATTAGTGATGGGACATCCAGATGACTTAAACATTAAACAGGATTAGGCCCAGTTACA